TTGTTAGGTTGTTAATTTTGTAAGAAAAAGGATACATTTTTGTGTAATGGAAAAAATAATTTTGAGATTAGAGCTAATACCAAATTTTTAAGAAAACCCAACTGAGTATCTTCCTAAATTATTGGTTTGCATAAAGTTTACAAGAATGTTGCCTACATCAAGCAATGGTTTTTTAAATGGATCAAACAATTTAAGGAACTTAAATTTAAGGAAATTAAGGTCAGGCAGAACTCAAAGATGAGCCAACAGAGGGGAGACCATCAATCAAGGTTTATGAAGAAACTGTGGATGTAATTCATAAATTGGTGTGAGAATGCCATATAACTAACATTGATTTGTTAGCCACTGAAGTTGGGATCTCACAAGATTCAGTATTTTCAATTTTACGCAAGCACCTAGACCTCAGAAAGCTTTCAACTCAATAGATGCCATCAATCTTTTAAATAAGATTGAAGTTCATAAAGATAATTTCATGCAATGAATCTTAACTGGGAACAAGTGTTGGATTTACCAATGCAATTTAACAAGTTCACTACAATCCAGAAGTCCAATCAAAACTGTGGTTTTTGGGTGGATCTGATGGGCTACTTAAATTCAAGGCAAAGCTCAGAAGGTTATAGTGATTTTTTTATTTGTCACGAATGTAAGAAATTAAAACAAACAAAACATACTTTAAGTCAAGAGTTAACAAATTATAATATATGGGCAAAATCTGGCCAATAGCATGTTTTTCAAATAAAGTTTTCTTGGAACAAAGATTCACCCATTTATTACATATTGCCTATGGCTGCTTTTGCTCTATGACAGAATTAAATACTTGCAGTAGATACCGCCGAGACCTTGAGGCCTCAAATATTTACTATCCATCTCTTTATGGAAAATGTTTGCCTACCCCTGCTTTATCTTTTCTAGTGTCCCTACACATCCATTCTACTCACACTCCTTATTCTTAATAAAACTTTCCTTTTTTAAAAAAAACAAAACAAAACTGAAACAACAGAATTATAAACAACAATACCTTACATCTTAAATGCTTGACTATTACAAATACTCATTCTTGGTCAATGATGAATTTTCATTGGAAAGTCTGACAAACACTAGCACCCCTGGAGAGCTGGGTATTACTGGTAGAGAGAGGTGTTTAATGGTTAAGGAACATTGCATATTATCATAGAGTTTAGTTGTTGGTGTTTTTAGTGTCAGGCCAATTCTTACTGGTGGAGATACCATGTTGGTGCAGTGTAGAGCTGCTCCATACAGTTTTCAAGGCAAATGACCTCCAGGAGGGCCACCAGGTATATCTATTGAGGTGCCTTTGAGTGGATTTGAGCCATCATCCTTTCAGTTCCTAGTTGAGCACTTAACTGTTTGTACCACCAGGAACTCCTGATAGAACTTTAGTATCAAGAATATCTAAGACACAAGTTAATTTCAGTAAATCCTTTGCAATCAGTTCTGATTTCTTATATGTCTTTGGAGTGGATTCTTAGGCCCAGTCTTGAGCTAAACTTAATCATTAAAATGTCATATTTGCCATTCATCCAGCTCAAGAGAAGTCTAACCACTGGGAAAATCTAATTTATTTCAGATTTATCGCTTATTTCTTGAACTCTAAGACCATTATTGAATTTTCTTATTCATTTTTAATGGGATAAAATGGGTACAAAATTAGAATGGAGTTCAAGAAGTGCATTTTTAAAGCATAAAATTTGCAAATGGTCTTATGAACACACAGAAGAACTTTATTAGGCCCTTTTCATAGAACTTTAGTATCAAGAATATCTAAGACACAAGTTAATTTCAGTAAAATTTTTTTAAACTATAAAGAAGTTTTTGTTTTTTCTAAAAGTGATTTTCAAGATGCTGTTTTTAAGTGTTGTCAAGTTGGTTCTGACTCTCATAGCAACCTTGTACAGGATTTTCAGGATCACGTGGTGGGTTTGAACTGCTGACTTTTAGGTTAGCAGTCTTGTGCTTATTCTATTGAACTAAAGGTAAGGAATGGCTGTGGGGCTCAGGAATTATGAAATTGAGACTTGAATTAGGTGAAGACTATCATCTCTGTTACTGTTTTTGCTTTAATCATTTTTTTTTTCTCAGCTAAGAAAAAGGTGGACTATTTTTAATTCTGATTCCCAGCCTCTTAGAAAAGTCTGCTAGTTTGTCCAGCTTGGTGACGTGCCCCCACTGAACCAAATAACTTTAATTAGGAGACAGACAACATCTGGAAAAGGACTATAATTGGCCCAGCTCATGTGAGGTACCCAAGTTGGACCAGCTCACTGTCCATGGGGATTGAGGCAGGAGTATGTTGCATTGAGGCAGGAGTATGGGCATTGAGGCAGGAGTATGTTGCACAGAACAGTTGAGAAAACAAGGGAGGTCTATAAATGGGAAGTCATTGATTAATAGCTTATAAATGTAACTTTTGAAATGTTAATATGTTTTTCCCAGAATTAAGGCATAATTATTGTTGTTGTGATTTTTTTTTGAGAAAAATTATATTATTTTAATTATGATTAATTGTTTTCTAGTATACTGAACAAGTTGGAGAAATAGTTGTTCCCATTCCATTTGAGACCATAAAATTTACTTCATTTCATTTTCTCTGAATGTTTTCTAGGTTCAACTATTAGTTCATTTGTGGGTGGAAATCAGACGGTGCAGGGCAACTCAACACCTTCCGTATATGGTAACATGCTTCCTTATCTTTAGATAGCAGTAAGAGCATGGAGTGTTGAACTTCTTTAGAAACAAGAACTGTTGGTCTTATATGGGGACCAGCCTTGTGCCTAATAGAATAATATGAAGACTTGAGTGTGGTGGTTATGAGGGACCCTGAATGATACAACTTCTAACTGTTCTCCATACAAGCCATGTTTTCACCTGTCTTTGGACATATTGTCAGGCTGGGCCAATCCCTGGAGAAGGACATCATGCTTGGCAAAGTGGAGGGACAGAGAAAAAGAAGGAGAACCCCAAGGAAATGGATTGGCACAATGGCAGCAACAATGGACTTAAGCATAGAAGCAATTGTGAGGGTGACACAGGACCCTACAGTGTTTCTTTGTGTTGTACAAACAGTAGCTATGAGTTGGAATCAACTTGATGGCACAATAACAACAACAAACCTTTGTCAAACTGAAGATTCTCTCTGCAAAGGCCTACACTTGAAGTGGTGGAAACAGCATGGCTTTACCTGTTTTTCAGATATGAGCTAAAATCCTACCTCTTTCTTTAACTAGTTATGTGATCTTATTTGACAGTGAAATTTGAGGTTTCCAGTACTAGAGAAGAGGCAAAAGAGAAAAGGGAAGATACAAAATGCGGTGTTTAGAAGAAATCCATTTCATCCATATACAGATTTTGTCTTGTCATATGTGGCTGGTTCTGCTCAAGCTAGAGTGATGAACCCATTGAATCCTCTGTTATAGATGAGTTGTAACAGATACTTAGTTAAATGAATCATTTCTCAGTAATCTCTTCTTACCACTTTATGTGAATTAATGGAACGGCTTGAAGTTCTATTCTTGTAGATTCTTGTAGGCTGCAGGGTTTTATTTCTTGTCTTAAAAAGTGGGCAGAATAGCTCAACTTCTATATTTAATTTTGATAATTAGATGTACATATGGAAGCAAAATCTGTGAGGAAAGTTCACAGCTGAGTTGTCCTGGAGTTTATGTGTTAATGAATAGAAAGGAGGGGAACTCACCCAAAGGCACTAATCAATAAAATCTCTCCTATTCAGTAAAATCCGTTTTACAGAAACTTCTTAAGGAAAGCATTTCTTGCTTTTCTTTGTTTTGTATTTATATTTATTCTGTACTAAAAATAAATATCTGCAGACATCTCTTACTACTTACTAGTCATCATTTTTCATTTTTATGGGATAACTCAAGTGATGATATTATTTGTTATTGTTGTTAATTGCCATCGAATCGGTTCCAACCCATAGGGACTCTGTATAAGATTTCTGAGGAGCAGCTGGTGAGCTTGATATTATAGATTATCTTAAAATCAATTGACTTCACTGACTTTTTGTTTCTCTGAATAAAAAAAATTCCTTAAAAAAGAAGTTCCCAGCTGACTGAGCATTCATGTTCACCCTGTTGCTGCTGCTGCTGTATGCCGTGGAGTCGGTTCTGTGTCATAGTGACCCTGTATAGGGTTTCCGAGGCTGTAAATCTTTTCTGGAGCAGGAAGCCTCATCTTTCTCCCGAATGCTCATCCTAATTATGTTTCAGGAAGTGCCATATACTTGCCACTTTGTCTGAAATGCCTCCCTTAGGAAATGACATTTAGTTTTGATGTTACAAATATTTTCTTCTCGTCAAGACTTTTGAGGCTATAATCTTAATTGTTGTTACTGGCGTTATGTGCTTTCGAGTCAGTTCTGACTCGTGGCGACCCTGTATAGGATTTCAGAGACTGTATATCCTGGAGTGGCGCTGTGGGTTAATGCGCTGGACTACAAAATTGTAGTCGACAATTGAAGTTCACCTGTCACTCCTTGAAAACCCTATAGAGGGTCACTATGGGTCAGAACTGACTGGACGGCACTTAACAGCAACAACAACAAATCTATGTGGGAGTAAAATGTCTCTTCTTTCTTAAACTGCTGACCTTGTAGTTTGCTGTACAATGCTTATCCTACACAGCCTTTGTTGTTGTTAATAATAAGACTGCCACTGAAATTGTATTCTTGTATAACTTCATTTATTATGGGAAAAATTTTAAACATGGAGTCTTATGTTAAAGTTTTAAACTGTCCTTCTGTGTGCGTGTCCAGAGAACATATCATTGTCAGTACAGGTGGATGAAAAGATTGTGCTCTGCTGCCCTCCCGTCCCACTGACAATGGACTTCGTGGTAACTTGGAAGATAATCCTCAGAGACCAAACTATCTGCCTGAGAGCCTACAGGAGAGATAGAGATGAGACAGGGGATATCAACTGTACTGATATGGGAGCAACCTGGGCCTCCAGACCTGACCAGAATCCCAGTGACCATCATGGATACATGGAGTATGAATCTAGGAAAATTTTCAAAAATGAAATGGAATATATAAACATTGATATGCTAGGCATTAGTGAGCTAAAATAGACTGGTACTGGCCGCTATGAACCTGAAAATCACATGGTTTGTTATGTCAGCAATGACAAATTGAAGAGAAATGGCATTGCATTCATCATTAAAGAACATTTCAAGATCTATCTTGAAGTATAATGCTGTCTGTGATAGGATAATATCCATACACTTACATGGAAGACCAGTTAAAACTATTAATTTTCTCAGATCAAGCATCAACGCTAATGGAAGCATGAGTCAAGAAATCAAATGATGTAATGTATTATGCAAATCTGCTGTACAAGACCTCTTTAAAGTGTTAAAGAGCAAGGATGTCAGTTTGAAGACTAAGGTGTGTCTGACCCAAGCCTTGGTATTTTCAATAACCCCTTATGCATGCAAAAGTTGGACTGTGAATAAGGAAGCCCATAGAAGAACTGATGCACTTGAGATATGATGTTGGAGGAGAATATTCAAAGTGCCATTGTAGGACCAAGAAAAAGACTCCATTCTGTACATTAGCCTGAACACATCCTCCTGTTCCAGGAACATGCTAAATCAGCTCATGCTGCCTTAGAATATCCTTTCACCCCTAGCAACAGCAAGAACTAGATAAGCAGTAGACAGGACAACCCAAGGCCAGATGCCAGATGTTTTCCTTATCCTAGCCTAAGAACAAAAGACCACCAGTACTGACCAATTAAACTGTAACATCTTATACTTTGCCAAATGTCAACCAATCCAAATATTGTAAAGCTGAAAAACCGTGAGCTTGTTTGAAAACTCTATAAAAACCCCACAGACAAAGGGTGTGTGTGTGTGTGGGGGGGGCTCCATCCCTCATCCACTGCGTCGAATGCAGGTGGAGTCTGAGCTTGGGCTTGAGTAACTGAGGGTTCAAGACTCCATCCCTCATCTGCTGCGTCAGATGCAGGTGGAGTCAGAGCATGAATAATGTTAACTGAGGGTTCAAGGCTCCATCCCTCATCAGTTGCATCGGATGCAGGTGGAGTCTGAACTAGAGCTTGAATAACTGGGAGTTCGAGGCTCCATTCCTCATCTGCTGCATCGGATGCAGGTGGGGTCCGAGCTGGAGCTTGAATAAACAACCCTTGTGCACTTGCATTGGTGTCGGCTCCTTGGTGGTCTTTGGGGACCCCAAATTCTGGGCATAACACCATGAACTGCCAAAAGAACAAACCAATCTGTGCTGGAAGACATACAACTAGAAGGCTGCATGGAAGCCAGAATGGCCAGACTTTGTCTCTCATACTTCAAACATATTGTCAGGAGGGACCTGTCCCTGAAGAAGGCTATTGTATTTGGTAAAATGGAGGGTTGGAGGAACAGAGGAAGAGCCTCAACTAGGTGGATTGGCACAGTGGCAGAAGTGATGGGCTCAAATATAGCAGCAATTATGAGACTTTCACAGGGCCGGGCAGTGTTTTGTTCTGTTGTGCATAGGGTTGCGATGAGTCAATACCAACTCAATGGCACCTAACACCAACAATAATGGGCAAAATTTTGAATGATGCAGAAAGCATCAAATGAAGATGAATGGAATACAGAGTCAGAGTACCAAAAAGAAATGGTTGCTGTTCAATGATTTCAAGATGTAGCGTTGCAAAGGAGATCTGGAGTCCTGGTGTGGTGCTGTGGGTTAATGTGCCAGACTCCAATGTCGTTTCAAATACAAGAAGCAGAAAGCCTCATCTCTCTCCCACGGAGGGCCTGGTGGATTCGAGCTGCTGACCGCGGGATTTGCAGTCAAATTCTTAACCACTACACTACCAGGCCTTGCATCTTCAAGATGGTGGATCTGGTAGACGTGTAGGGAGGAGCTCGATCAACAACAACACAGAATACTGGGCCAAGAGGGCTCACGGGATGGTGTTGGAACTCTGGAACAAATATAAAGGTATGTTTGGAGGAAATCCATTGTTTTAGGGATCAAGACACTCAGCTGTTCCAGGAGCCGCCATTTTGGGAAAGTATATCTTGATTGTATCAGGATTGATAGTATCAGGAGAGAACATCTTGATTGTATCTTGTTTATATCAGGATTGTATCAAGATTGACATAGAAATTTAAAGAGACAGTATCCACATAAAACCAAAAAAAATGGCCACCACTCATCTGTCTGTCATGCTGAGGTGGTTTGAGTTGCTGTGATTCTGAGGGCTCTGCCACTGGTATTTTAAATAACCAGCCAGGTCACCCATGGTGGACAGGTTTCAGATGAGCTTCCAGACAAAGACAGACTAGGAAGAAAGAGTGACGAACTACTATGAATCACTAGTCACTAAAAACTCTATGAATAGCAGAGAAACACTGTCAGATACAGGACTGGAAGTTGGGAAGGCGACTGGGAAAAAAAAAAAAAAAAAATGCCTCCTCAAAGTAGAGTTGACCAT